GTTGTGAAAAAAAAAAACCAACACCAGGTCCATTTTGATTGAACTCTTTTCTGATCGTATAAATGATAATATTTGTTATATTGTGTTTATGTATGTAAATTTTCCTATGGTCTACCACCCAAGGCCCGTTTACAATTCATTATGTAATAAGACTAATCTATCATTATATAAAAAGAATAACCTTTTTACAAATTTAGAAACTTTTTCCCGCCAAAATCATTAAATATATTCTATATATAGTAATTGTTGGACAAATCTGAATAGGCAAAAAAATCTGCTCATTAATTGTGTAAAGATTTGTTTCTCTTTTTCCCGTTTCTTAGTTTATCGTTTTAATAATAAATATTTGTTTTTCTTTTTCCTATTTTTAGTATAAATCTACACGAGCTTATCTCTTATGTTACAAAATCTCATTTCATACGATCTTAGGTGTTTAAAAAATCTCATCTCTTATCTATACAGATTTGAAAAAATAAAATAAAATAGAAATCAATTCATAATTACTACTAGAAATTCATTATCTTTAAAAAGAAAAAATAAAATAAAATAGAAACTAATTCATAATTACTACTAAAATCTATTATCTACTTTAAGAAGCTAATTTTCATTGGTCTAATTACTATTATTTTGACAAATATTCTAAGCTAACCATACAAAATAGTATAATAATAATTTTGAAATGGTGTGTAATCAATTTTTTTTATATTCTCTTATACAAAACCATTTTACATTGTTTGACCCCGAATCTTTAATTTATAATTATTAAGTATTGTTTATTCTCCTCTTTTATTTATAATTATTTTTTTTTTCTTCCTCTTTTTAAATACGATCAATAGTAATTTTTACTTCCGCCATTGACTCAAACTCGAGGTCTATTTATAATATTGTTAATTTAATATTGTTCCCGTGCATCGCACGGGGTACACACTAGTTAATCATCAGGCCTATTAAGATTTTGTACTGTGTAGAACCTTAAACATATTGAAACTGAGCAATTCATTTGCCCACATATTTTGGTAATTGCTATGGACACTAAAATACAGAAATTGGAGTTAAAATTAAAAATCTATATTGATGCTTGTGTTGTGCATAGGGCTGTAAGGGATTTGAGGTCAGTCGCTAGCAATTAAGTCAAAGTTCCAGTTTTNGGAAACTATAAAAGCAAATCCTTTTTACAAAAGGAGAAATGTTACATTGTCAACTTAGTGTACAACTAGATCGACAACACAAGTAAAAAGCATCCACAAAAATAAAAATAAAAAAAAAATACATAAGTGGATGTTTTCACTTGTGTTGTCAACCTAGTTGTACACTAGGTTAGCCATGTATCATTTTTCTTACAAGAGAGCATAAACAAGTAGGAAAGGGGAATGAAAACCCAAACAACAACTAAAGGAAAAAGCTAACAACCAAACAAACAAACAAGTTAGAGCAAAAGCAAAGAACACAAAAAGACTAGAAGCAGCAACAACAACCCAAGTAGCCTCCCCGACAAGCACAAGACAAAACAACATTAACAAGGGCGCCTAAAATCTGCACTACTGCCCACATTGACATTGGAAGCCTACAGAAGCAGCCAAGAGAAATCAACCAATAGAAGAGAGCATCCACCTCAAGCAACAGAAGAAGAGAAGAAAAACTAAGGGTCAGGCTGATTGACTAGCTCAAACTCAATCCAGTCCTCTCTAGCTCTTCGGGTTATCTCTAGCTCAGTTTTCCAAACATTACTAGACCCAACAGTGTAGCGTCTTCCATAACCACCACAAAATATAAGTAGAGAGATTCATCCAGTCTGTTATGCAGGCAGCAGACTTTGAGAGACATAAATCCACCCACCAGTTATTAAAACATACCGTAGAATTCAACACTCCACTCCAATCAAAACTTGTTAATTTCTAAACTATCACTGCCTTAGGAAATTAAAAAAAAAAAATGTGCTCTAGGTCCTCTTCATAAAGTCCACAAATATTGCAAATAGAGTCAACATTCCTCAGTTTGTTCTTAAGCCGATCAGAGGTGCTGAGAAACTTGAACTAACAGCGCCATAGAAAGTTTTCTTATCTTAGGTTTAATCTTAAGACTCCATGTCATTTTTCACATCTTATAAAGACAAGAGAAAGTGATACAAGATTCAAGTGGACAAAAAGTACCTTTCTTCAGCAGCAAATTAGTTGTGTAATCAGATTGAGTAATAGGCCAGCCTTAGTTAGCCTCCATTTCCACTTGTCCTTCTGGTTTCTTCTTGTTGAGGGAGTGTGCAGAATGATATCAACTTGATCATATCAATATCCCAGGATTTACGTGTAAATATTTGGAGGTTGACATTAAATCGACAAACTCCAGTAAAGTTGGAACCTACATTAGATACTAGAGTTAGGCTTGTAAACAAATCAAATTTTTTTGATTCGATTCGATATTCGAATTCGATATTCGTGATTCGAATTCCAAATATTCGAATTCGAATTCGAATAAGAATAATGTTTTATATTCGAAAGTTAAACGAATCCGAATTCGAATTTGTAGATATTCGATTCGAAATTCGAATATTCGATTCGTTAACAATAATTATATAAATTTTATAAATTATATATAGTATACATTTTGTTTATAATATATATCTATATATATATTGTTATATTCCTACTATTTTTATGACATAAAAAGTAAAATCATCATAAATTAACAAATTTTCCTAAAAATATATGAAAAATAAAAATTATTTTTTGTAATTATTATTTTGTAATTATAATTTTTTTTTAAAACAAAATTCGAATCGAATCAAATATGTTCGAATATTCTAAGCGAATCGAATATGAATAAAAAAATGAGTTCGTTAACGAATCGAATACGAATTCGAATCTTCGAATACTTTAACGAATCTGAATCGAATCTCTGAGTATTCGCTTTGATTCGATTCGTTTACAACCCTAACTGGAGTTATCTTAAAATAAAAAGGGAAGTATTGTTATCTTAATCTATTCTATTTTATTCCCTTAAATTTATTTATTTGAACTTATTAATTTGTTTAGTATCTCAAGGAAAATCAAGAAGATATCCACAAGATATTTTTCCTATGGGGCAGCCGCAATGTGAATTAAAGAAAGATGCCAACTTACTATGCAAAGGGATAAAAGCGTGTAGAAGAACTTACCATACTTAAGGTGCCTTGCGAGTGAGAGAAGAAATCATGAGGAGCGGATCTTAAGATCGAGGACGCAACAATTTATGGGATTGAAGATTGCAAGGAAACTTACCATATGCATGAAGATATAAAAGAACTCACACAAAGAAGTAATACAGACTTCAAATGAGAGATTGTTTTTTTTGTTTTTTTGTTTTTACATTGAATGCAAAGTGTTCTGGGAAAAATCATTAGAGTTTATTTTTATTTTTATGAATGTGGAGTCGAGAGCCTGTTCTCGATCTCATTGAGCCTGATAACTTATTTCTTTGATCTGTTAGGATAGGTGTTCGGGAGGAACACTTAGAACAACTTAGATAATTTGAGATATAAAATCCACAAGGGATTTGTGGTCGGAAAAGTGATGTGTGTGAGTGATTACAATGTAGGTAGTGAAGATGGAGTCTTCATTGTAAATCCTAATTGTAATGGGCCGAACATTTACATCTACCAAAGCACAACTAGCAAACATTTTCACTAAGGCTTTGGGCGGACATGATTTCTTAGATTTTCTCGGCAAGTTGTGCATTCGAAACCTTCATGCACCAACTTGAAGGGGAGTGTTAAGATATATCTTTGATAATTATTTTTGGTAACTAGATATTTGATTTGATATGACCTTGATATGTTTCTATGTCTTGTAACCTCTATATATTGGTTGTAATATCTCTTCTACGATAAGAAAATACACAATACCTTTTTATTCTATGACTTCTCTCTCAACTTTAGCATAATGATTGAGTTTTAAAAATAATATAAATGTGATAAAGATACTGTAGTTTTATATATCACATTAAATATATTTCTAATAATCAATCGTTTATACATTTACATATTATTTGTCATTCATGTGAAATAATAATAAGATCTTGTGGTTAATAAGCTTTGAAGTCAATAAGGGCGTGCTTGTTTATAAATAAATCCGCTCAAAATGAGTTTTTTTGGTTAATCATGATTAATTTAGAAAAAAAATTGGTATGATTAGTTATTAGTAGGATTTTAAGTTTATATTAGAATAATATTTAAAATAAAATAATTAAATAGATTTGATGTAAAAGTATGAGAGATGATTTGAAGTGATGGTCAGTTAAAATTATTTAAGATGAACAATGAATTAAAGTTGATGTGATATGTAAGAATGATTGATTTATATTATTTAATTATATTGATAATATTAAGAGTAGTGAAACTCAATTAAAGTTGAGTTAAATTTTAAATATTGTGAATGAAATATTAAAAAAAACTAACATGTCATAACATTTCACATTTATACGTCATTTATATCATCCCCATATAAATTATCTGTTACATTAAAATTATACTCTCTCTTATTTTTAATAAATGTCGTTTTGAGAAGTTGCACAATAATTAAGAATATTTTGTTTGCCAATAATAACCCTCATTAATAAGGATAGAGATTGATGTTTCGAGAAAAGATGGAGAGTGAATATGAAAAGATTGTAGTGTATTTATTAGTTAGATGAGGGTAATAATAGAAAAATATGTACAAAATAGTCAAAACAACATTTTGAAAATACGTTTTTCAATTAAATTTGTGAAGAAAACGTATTAACTGAATACAAGTTTTTGATTTTTTTCCACACTTTTNGTCCCCCCGCCACAAACGCTAACTGATATTCCCAGATCTCTCTTCTCTCTTTCTTCTTCCCCATGGCTTTGTCTCTCTATTTTCCCCTATTTTTCCAACTCATTTTCCTCGTCCATTCCTTCTTCTCTCAGAACCCCATTTTACCAAAAGCTGCAATCTTTCCTCTCACAAAGGACTTCCCAGCCCACCAATATTGTTTCCAAGCTTTTCATGGGCTCAAATCTCGACCCAGTTGAGCTTGTTCTCGATCTCAACGGCCCGTTTACCTGGGCCGACTGTGGATCCATCTCCGCCTCTGGATCCAGACAGCCCGTCAAGGCCTGCTCCCTCAAGTGCTCCATGGCCGGGCCCACCAAGGGCTGCTTCACTCAAAGGTACAACTCCAGCAGTTGTACCTTGCCGGCCGAGAACACGGCCTCGGGAGCCTCTGCTTCCGGTGAGGTGGATGAAGATGAGATAGCTATGGAGTTTTGGGCCGGGCCGGGCCTCTCGAGCTCCTTGGCCAGAAATGAGAGATTTTTGTTTTCTTGTGCACCGACCTCGCTGCTAGAAGGGCTGGCCGATGGATCTAAGGGCGTGTTTGGGTTGGGAAATTCAAGAATTTCGCTCCCCTCCCAATTTTCCACCTCCTTCGGGTTTTTCAACAGGAAATTCTCTCTCTGTGTTCCGGCGTCTTCGAATGGGGCGATTTTCCTTGGCGGGGGGCCACACGAAGATGAGTTCTCGAGCCCCATGATCTACACTCCTCTGATTTTCATTATTATTATTATTAAACAAAACTAGTATAATACTCGTGTATTACATGAGTACTTGTTAAGAAATTATATTTAATATTAAATAATAATAATAATTTTTTTAATTTTAAATACTTTTTTTGAAAAAAAATATTTTATTATTTATATTTGAAATGACACAGTCACTTACACGACATACTTATATATAATGTTTCTTTTTCATTTATCTCATATAACTACTTTGTAGATAAGTTAGTTTAAATAATTTTATTTTCTTGGATTAATATTAATAGATAATTTAATTTTCATTATAACGATAAATAAAATTATTTATTTATTTTTTATATATAGGTGTCAAATCAAAGTTCATCAAAACATGATTTGTTTGATATACTATTTATAAAAAATTGTTAATAAATAATACTTTATTAACTTTTAAATATATTTATAATTTAAGTTAGTAAATTTGTGATAATTTAAAAAAATATGAGGAAAAAAGAACAATTGGAAAGAAATTATAAATGATATTTAAACTTAATTATTGCTCTTCAAAGGGACCATAAATATCTAGTATATTTATAGATATTTCAAGTCTAGTTAGTAGTTACGTTTTGGATGAAAAATAAATTAAATTCATCCAAGCCAAAAAACAAAGCTTAAAAAATTACCACATAAGATCTCAAAGCATGCGAGTCTGTCTCTTAGGCTCAACACATTCGGAAATTATATATATAAGGGGATTTTATCTTCTTTTTTTTTCTATATATATTAATTCTCGTGTATCCTTGATGTACTTGTGTATTTGTTTCATGAGGACTATAAAATAATAATAATAATAATAATAATAACAATACAGTAAGAAATAGTTTATGTTATTGTTTTATTTTTACATTGATGATCTTAAAAGTTGTGTTTAGTATGAATATATTCTGGCAATTCAAAATGTACAACAACCAACTCTGACTCTGAAGATAAATTATAAAAGATGTTAAAAAAACTATATAGATAAATGAAAGTCCATATTTTTCAAAGAGCGCAATATATAATTCTATAATTTATATAGTCTATAAATAGCTTACATCTTGCACAATAGTCAAAATATATAACAAAAATTTTCTAAGTGAATTTACTTTTTCATGTATGTTAATTGCATATCATATATGAATAATCATAATCATGGGGATTCTCTCGGCGGAGAGCTTCACATCTTGATCTCGATCTGTAACTCTTAATCCATTATCTATTCCATCTAGTTATCCTTGCTCTCAGCTCAATTGACTCTTTCGTCGGTCTAGGGCTACTGTTATTATGAATCCATCCCCATGTATAGGGCAAGATGACGAGCTTGCCAAACGATTGAAAGTTTTCTCATTATCAGATCGAGAACACAAGTTAATAGATATAGCGAATGATGATATTCGTCTCAGTGATGAAGAATGCAATCGAAGTCTATTTGGCAAGATTATTGGAGACCGTAAAGCAAGCTGGATAGGAATTAAACGCACTATGTCTCAGATATGGCGTCTTCAACAGTCCATGGAGGTTAAAGAGCTTGGTCACAACTACTTTCAATTCCTTTTCCAAAACAGGGATGATCTAGAGAGGGTAGCCAAAGGAGCTAATTGGATTTTTGAAAATCAATATCTGATTTTAGCAGAATGGCAACAAGGTCTCTCTATCAATCATAAGGTCTTTCAGGAACTTAATCTATGAGTCCAAGTATTCAATATCCCCCTCAACTGGCTCAACACTGAGGTAGGTCTCAAAATTGGCAAATTTTTCCCTGCAGTGAAAAATGTGGTGGTGGTAGGGGCGGGGCTTCACAAAGGTAAAATTCTAAGGCTGCTAGTTTCGGTCAATCTATCAGAACCTTTACCCCGGTGCGCCAACCTTAGACTGGGGGACCAAACAGTTAGTGTGAGTTTTAAATATGAGAAATTGGTCAATTATTGCCATTACTGCGGCTTCATTGGTCATTTGGATAGAAGTTGCGATAAGAGAATGAATGACATCAAACATGACACAGTCCAAGAAGGCCAATATGGAGATTGGATGAGGGCACCAAATGGCCAATATTGGGCAGGTCCAGGTACTTCGGAATCTCACAGTCCTTCAAACTCAGAAAAACCTCCCTCCCCTCCTCCTCTTAACATCCCAATTCAGACCACCAGCAGTCATGTGGAAGATAGTCAACAAATCCTACCTCTGACAACGGTTGATTCCTCCCAACACCATGGGTCTTCATCTAAATATCCACATTCTCAGGAACCTCACCTCTCTCCCACTTCAAAAACTATTGCCCTGCAAGAGCCAATAATATGTACTAAGAGGGCAATAGTAGTTGCAGAACCAAGCAATTCCCAACAACAAGAGGCTATCCACTCTTCTGAATTAGTTATGGTGGCATCAGATTCTCTTACTCCTATTCAGAATCACCTGGAAGCTATGGACTCTGAACTTCCCCTTTCAATATCAAATCATCAGCTTCATATAAGTTTTCAGCAACCTAGAACTAAATTGTGGAAAAGGTCTCTCTCCAACAAAGGAAGCCTTCAGAGGCAGGATGAGGGATCTCACCAACTTATTCCAATTCCTGTTGGGAAAAGAACTAGAGAGGATCCTGATACCATACTCACAGACAATGAGGGTCAATTAATCAGTTATGATGGAAGTAAGAAATTGAAAAACTCAGATACACAGGTGGGGGATACCAGCCTTGAATGGCACCTCAGTGATCAATGCTAGCTGCGGTGTGGAACTGTAGAGGACTGGGTGGACCCTCTATAGTTTTCCAAATCAGAGAGTTACACAGAACTCACCACCCCACTTTTCTTTTCCTTTCAGAAACTAAGAAACAGAATGACTTTGTTAAATCAGTGGTCAGAAAACTTGGCTATGATAATAGATTCCTTATAGTAGATCCCAGGGGTTTGAGTGGAGGTCTTCTATTACTATGGTCAGTAGATACTCAAGTTCACAATACTATCAGCAGAGAGTTCTATATAGCTGTGGAGTACTCTAAAAAAGATTCTCATAAATCTTGGGGGATTTTTGTTTATTTGAATGCATGTCCAGCCATTAGAAAGGATCAGTTGGCTCAAATGGAGCTGGACATGAATCAATGGGGGTCAAAGTGGTTTATCATTGGAGATTGGAATGACATCATCTCTAACACTGAGAAAAAAGGGGGCAACAGAAGGTCTGATATAAGCATTAGGGGTTTCAGAGACTTCATTAACAGGATGTCTATGGTTGAGATCAGAATGGAAGGTTACAACTTCACTTGGTGCAACAACAGAAACTCAGAAGGATTGGTGGAAGAAAAATTGGACAGAGGATTTGGTTCTATTGATTGGCTAGCTGACTTCCCATCGGCTTCAATTTCAAATATTGCTAAAAGTGGTTCAGATCATTCTCTACTCTTACTCAGCTCTGGCATCAAAAAGGATAGAGTAGCTACCAGAATCCACTTTGACAAGAGGTGGATCTCCAAGGAAGGGCTTGAGGAAGTGGTGAAGGCAGCTTGGTCTACCCAACTCAGAGGCACTCTTTTTTACCAGCTGAAGGAGAAAATTAAGCTTACCAGAAAGGCTCTTCTTCTATGGAGTGCCAAATTCAGAACACAGCAACAATCAATCATTGAAAATCTAAGCAAAAAACTAGCACTGTTACAAGAATGTGGTATAGAAGATCACTGGGATGAATGGAATTCAACCAAGAGGGATCTTGAAGCTACCCATGAGAGGGAAGAATTACACTGGCAACAAAAAGCCAAAGCCAGGTGGATTAAAGAGGGAGACCGTAATACAAAGTTTTTCCATGCCTTTACTCTCCACAGAAGAAGACAAAATGCAATCTCTAGACTCATTACCAGCCAGAATAGAGTCTGCTCCACATCGCAGGAAATATCAGATCATATCTCAGACTTCTATTCCAATCTGTTCTCTTCTGAAGGTTCCTAGGGTGGAGACTCTCTTCTTCCTTTAATTCCAACCTCAATAACTGCAGAAATGAATCAGACTCTCCTAAGACCAGTCACAGAGGATGAAATTCACAAGGCCCTTTTCAGTCTCAGCCCAGAGAAATCTCCAGGAGAAGACGGTATGACTGCCCTCTTTTATCAATCCTGTTGGGATTTAATTAAACCAGACTTGATTGTTGCTATCTCTAGCTTCTTCTATGAAAATGGAGCATTGTTGAAATACTGGAATCATACTATTCTGACCTTAATTCCCAAATGCCCCAATCCTGAACTTCTTTCTCAATATAGGCCTATTAGCCTATGTACTGTGGTTTACAAAACTCTCTCTAAAATTATCTCCCTGAGGCTGCAATGTTGCTTGGACTCTTGTATTAGCTACTCTCATTCTCAAAGGCAAACAGATTTTTGACAATGTAATTATTGGGCATGAAGCTTTTCACTTTCTTAATAGACATTCTTCAGGGAAGAACCATTTCATGGCTTTAAAACTGGACCTTATGAAAGCATTTGATAGAGTTGAGTGCTTTGTATTAAGAAGATTATGATTCAGATGGGGTTTCAGTTAGAATTTGTTAAGCTGATCTTGATATGCATTTCTTCTAGCTCATTTTCTCTCAAGGTGAATGGTACAGTGTGTGGATATGTGAAACCATCCAGGGGAATCAGACAAGGAGACCCTCTCTCTTCTTATCTATTCCTCATTGTTGTTGAAGTGCGTTCTGTTCTTGTTTCTTCTGTTGTGGACTCTGGCAACTTGCTTGGTTTAAAACTTTCCAGGAATGGGCCAGCTATTTCTCATCTACTATTTGCAGATGACTCACTTTTCTTCTGTAAAGCTGGTGATGATCAAGCTATGCAGCTCCTTAACATTTTGGAAAGATACAGGCTGTTCACTGGTCAAAGGGTTAACCTACAGAAATCAGCAATCTTCTTCAGCAGAAGTACACCCCAAATTCTGCAAGACAAAATCTGTGATACCTTACAAGGGATTGTTGTTCACAAGTCCACAAGATATCTTGGCTTGCCCCTTGGGATTGGAAAATCAAAACTGCAGGCTTTTCAGTTTGTTCTGGACTCTGTTAAGTCTAAGCTTCTCAGCTGGAAATCAAAACTTCTATCCCAAGCAGGTAAAGAGGTACTTTTAAAAGCTGTCATCCAATCCTTGCCAGTCTACTCTATGTCTTGTTTTAGACTCCCATCTTCCCTTTGCTCTGAAATTATCAAACTCTGCTCACATTTCTGGTGGAGCAAAGGTGAAGATCACACCAGAAGTATCCATTGAAAGGCATGGGATCTCTTAACTTTGGATAAAGCTGAAGGAGGTTTGGGGTTCATTGACCTAAAGAACTTCAATACTGCTCTGCTTACATCTATAAGCAACTCTGGAGAATAACTACTCAACCCCAACTTTTGGTCAGCAAAATTTTGAAAGATCGATATTTTCCAGACTGTTCCATTTTCTCAACTGTCAAAACTCAGAAATGTTCATGGCTTTGGTCTAATTGGCTCAAGGTTCTGCCCACCATTTCTAAAGGATATGCTGTTGAAGTTAGGAATGGGGAAACCACCAGAATTGATGAAGTGAATTGGGTTCCTTCTCTTCTACAACCTAAGCCTTCCATTTTGGAGATTGCTAGAGATCACATTATCTGGGTGAAAGAGTTAATCAATGACAATGGGCACTTGCTGGAACGAATGGCTGATTAAACAACTTTTCAATGATTCTGAGAGTAAGGCTATCCTCAATATATCCACTCTAAAATCTGGTTGCTCTAACAGGAGATTCTAGAAATTCAATAAAAAAGGAGTGTTCTCTGTTGCCAGTACATACTCCTTCTTGTCTCAGCATAAGCTCTCAAAATTGGACCTTCCTTGCAGCAGCTCATACAACAACAAAGCCTCACTCTACAGATTCTGGAACCTTAAAATCCCAGGTAAACTCCAACATTTCCTTTGGAAGTGCATTAATGGATCATTACCAGTCTCAACTAACCTGAAGAAAAGAGGTGTGGATATTGACATCACTTGCAGAGGTTGTGGAGCTTCCTGAAACAACTGAACATATTTTGCTCCATTGCCCCAAAGCAAAGAGAGTTTGGGACATCTCCCCAGTCACTTGGAAAGATACTCACACTGAGGGGCCCTTCAAATACTGGTGGGGCCATATCTGTTCACTTGGCTCTACAGGGATTGATAAAGCTCGCATTCAACTTACTACATATTTGCTTTGGTGGTTATGGAAATGTCGCAACCTTTGGGTCTTTCAGAAAACATCAATCCCAGCTCACACATTGGTCAAAATTGCTCATAAGGAATGGCTCGAGTTCTCTCAGTATAAAATATCTGATTGGTGCTGTTTTTAGTATGTTCTTTGTTTTCTTTTAGGTTCCTTTCAGCTTTCTTCTATTCTCTTTTATTTGTATTTGTCTTCGGTTATGGTTTTCTGTTTTGATTGGTTTGTCATCTCTAGGCCTATATGGCAATGGAGGTTAGGTGTTTGAGATTACTTCATGTTTCAGTTCTAGGGCGCTTTGGCGTGTCCTCTCATTTCTCTATTCGGGTGTGGCTCGTTGTAATATGACATCGTATTCAGTTCTGAGTTTATACATCTTCTATCGTTTCGTTAAAAATATATATATATATATATATATATATATGAATAATCGATACAAAATAGTAATTAAACTAAGATCATGTAGTATGGGTTTGAAAAAAATTATACTAATACATATATATGTGTGTAAATATTGCAATCAATAAAATATGACGTTAAAAGGATTACGTAACGTGTATTTTACAATCAAAGTTTTGATACCATATATCCGTACAAGTTTTTAAAAAAATAATAAATTCATTATTTATTTGTCATAATTCGTATTAAAAATCTTGTGTTGTAACGCGTTAAAGTAATTATATACAAATTAATAAAATATAAATATTATATATCATAAAAATAATCAGTAATACATTAAAACTGCTTATTATTATTATTATAAATATAATTGTATCTTTTTTATATTATAATTCCGTGTGTCATTGATGTAATCATATATTGTTTTAGAATCAAAAAAATAATTTATGATATTAAAACGTTGAAAAATAAATTATATAAAGAAATTATTACATAAAATATAAATTAACTATATATTGTTTTATTTTTAACATAAACGAATATTTTATACTTTTATATTTAGTCGGTATATGTATATCACTATAATTTATACAAT